GCACCCCTATACCCCTATGGGCACCGTTATAGACAGACGGGCACCCCTATACCCCTATGGGCACCCCCATAGACAGATGGGCACCCCTATACCCCTATGGGCACCCCCATAGACAGACGGGCCCCCCTATACCCCTATGGGCACCCCTATAGACAGATGGGCACCCCTATACCCCTATGGGCACCCCCATAGACAGATGGGCACCCCTATACCCCTATGGGCACCCCTATAGACAGACGGGCCCCCCTATACCCCTATGGGCACCCCCATAGACAGTTGGGCACCCCTATACCCCTATGGGCACCTGTATAGTCGTCCCTATAGACAGACAGACACCCTTATACCCTCTATAGACAGACAGGCACCCGTATAGCACTATAGGCACTCATATACGCCTATAGACACCCCTACAGACAAACAGGCACCCCGGGCACCCTATAGGCACTCATATACCCTCTATAGGCACCCACACCCCCCTGTAGACACCCATATACCCCTATAGACTGACAGACAGGCACCCGTAGGTATCCCTATAGGCACCCATATACCCCTATAGACACCCGTATGGCCCCTATAGACAGACAGGCATCCCTGGGCACCCCTAGATACACCCATATACCCCTATAGGCACCTGTATACCCCTATAGACAGATAGGCACCCCTATAGGCACCCATATACCTCTGCAGACAGGCAGCCAGGCACACCTCTAGACACCCATGTACTCCTATAGGCACCCAAACACCCCTATAGACACCCACAACCCCTTATAGACAGTCAGCCAGGCACTGCTGGGCACCCCTATAGACCCTCATATCCCCTATAGATACCTATATACCCTTACAGACACCCACATACCCCTACAGAGGGGCAGCCAGGCACCGCTGGGCACCCCTATAGTCACCCATTCACCCTTTTAGACACTATAAGCAGACACTTAGGCACTCCTGGGCACCCCTATAGACACCCATATACCCCTATAGACACCCACACCTCCTATAGACAGATACCTCGACACTCCTGGGCACCCCTAGAGACCCCTATGCACCCCTATAGACACCCCTGGGCACCCTTCTAGACAACCACATCCCCTATAGACAGACACACATGCATCCCTGGGCATTCCTACAGACTCCTATGCACCCCTATAGACACCCGTATCCCCTATAGACACTCACACACTCCTATAAATACCCACCTGCCCCTATAGATACCTACACCCCTTACAGGCACCCACCCGACCCTACAGACACCCTTACACCCCCATATACACCCTATAGACACCTGTGGACTCCTATATGCTCCCATAGACCTTATATATGCCCACCCACCTCTCTGCCCCCCTATATACATACATCTGTCTGCCTCTATAGACACCCATACCCCTATAGACCCCCACCCAGCCCTATCCACACCCCTATAGACACAAAGACACCCATATGCCCCTATACACACCTCTCTGCACACCCATACATCCCTATAGACACCCGTGCACCCCCCTCATAGACACACGCCCCATAGAGACCCATGTGCCCCTATAGATGACCATACACCCCTATAGACACCAACACCCCCTCTGTACACCCTATACACACACCCATACACCCTTATATGCATCCATGCTTACCCTGTGCTCCCCTATAGAAACCCTCTAGGTGTCCCAAGCTCCCCTGGGCACCTATATGTACCCCTCTATACATCCCTGTGTAGCTTTATGTACCCTGGGAGTGTTTAGATACCCTATATATCCTACCCAAAGCCTATACAGCTTTATGTACTGTTGTGCTCCCCCTATACAGCCCTGTGCACCCCCTGTTTGCCCCTATAGACCTCCCAACACCCCCTTTACACCCTGTGCGCACCTCTACACCCCCTGGGCAGTACGTATATGTTCTATACACCCCCGGAGAGGGGGTATATACACGCTATACTGCCCGGTACCCCCTGTACTGCTTGAAGGAGGAGCCCTATACACACTCTATACAGCCTGTGTGGTGCGTGACGCCCATATAGACCTCTATAGAGGCCGTGTGGTGTGGGTGGGGTGTCCCTATACAGCCTGTGTGATGGGTGACGCCCATATAGACCCCTATAGAGGCCGTGTGGTGTGGGTGGGGCTTCTGTAGAACCCTATACAGCCCTACACACCCCGTGAGGTGCAGCCGGGCCCTTGCGACCACCCCTATAGCCCCTTACAGTGGCCTCCCACCCAGCCTCCCAGCCCTTGATCCGCTCCAGAGTGAACGCGCCGCCGGGCAGCACTGGCCATACGTAGCTTTATTCACACAACGGGGCGGCGCCTCTATACGTCCACGCGCCCCAATTACAGAGTTCGGCACCCATGGGACACCCCCCCCTCCCACC